GATATAACACTGTATATGCCATAAATCATGATTTTTTTTTAATATAAATTCTTTAATAGGTCGTGTATTGCAATTTAAAACATACCGTAAATAAAAAAAATTGCAGTATTATCGTGAAGCAATCAAACAATGCTGATACTGATAAACGCGTGATTTTCACTCAAACTTGATAACACAGGGTCAGGAGATGAACTAAATGACAAATTAATTCCTTTTTTCGCACGTTTTTTCAGCCACAAAATAAAAATAACTAACATATGTAACAAATATGAACTTATGTGTTTCCATAATAAATTAAGTAAACTGAATATACACCAGTTAGTTCCATGCGTACCCGAAGGATAAGCGTCTCCTACTACATCGAGTACAACCGCCGCGTACCTATTTACACAACGTAGTGAGACCTGGGTTACTGCTAACCATCAAGCTAGTATTTACCAAATAACATCTCTCAGAGTTCTTTGTTTCATGTTTTTGTGTATGTCAATATATGACAAACATGAAACGAGATCAAGCTGTTGAAGGTAGGACAATATGTGACCGTTCCGGACCTATATAATGGTGTCCAAACTGGCCTTTATATACACACATTGTCAAACAGCTTACAGGGCTTTAAAACAGTCAATCATATTTACAGTAAGTCCTCTAACAACCAATTATATTTGTACGTGAAAATCCAAATCAATCAATACACAGCAATCTGCATAAAAGGGTCACTGAACTGTGACCAATTGTCACACTAGGTCAGTTCATGATTTGTCCTATCACAACAAAGTTTCGGAAAAATACAATGTTTTTTAATTCTAACGTGCTTTGTTTCAGATGCTATTTGTAATTAATGTTATGAATATTTCTAACTGGGAGTTAAATTAATGGTAGTCAGGCTTTACAAATATAAATAGGTCAGTGAAGATCAAGAGACGAAGGATAAATGGCATCCATTCAACGCATTGTTCCAATTTTTGAAGTTTTATGTAGGAGGATAATTTTACGGACAGTAGCCGATTGGCAGATTGATTAGGTAAAGCTGATAAATCACAATAAAACACTAACATAAATGTGATGGTTTTTTATAATATGTATGTACTGTAGTTGATGTTTATCAAAGGATTAACGTTAATCTTCGCAGCCAAGGTCCGTGAAAGTCAAGGGGACATCAATGGGAAGGGGACATCAATGGAAAGGGGACATAAATGGGAAGGGGACAGCGATGGAAAGGGGATATCAATAGGAAGGGGACAGTAATGGGAAGGGGACATCAATGGGAAGGGGACATCAATGGGAAGGGGACATCAATGGGAAGGGGACAGTAATGGGAATGGGACAGTAATAGGAAGGGGACAGTAATGGGAAGGGGACATCAATGGGAATGGGACAGTAATGGGAAGGGGACATCAATGGAAAGGGGACAGAAATGGGAAGGGGACAGCGATGGAAAGGGGATATCAATAGGAAGGGGACATCAATGGGAAGGGGACATCAATGGGAATGGGACAGTAATGGGAAGGGGACAGTAATGGGAAGGGGACAGTAATGGGATGGGGACATTAATGGGAAGGAGACAGTAATGGGAAGGGGACAGGAATGGGAAGGGGACAGTAATGGGAAGGAGACAGAAATGGGAAGGGGACATCAATGGGAAGGGGACAGTAATGGGAAGGGGACAGTAATGGGAAGGAGACAGTAATGGGAAGGGGACATCAATGGGAATGGGACAGTAATGGGAAGGGGACAGTAATGGGAAGGGGACAGTAATGGGATGGGGACATTAATGGGAAGGAGACAGTAATGGGAAGGGGACATTAATGGGAAGGGGACAGTAATGGGAAGGGGACATTAATGGGAAGGGAACAGTAATGGGAAGGGGACAGCGATGGAAAGGGGACATCAATAGGAAGGGGACAGTAATGGGAAGGGGACATCAATGGGAATGGGACAGTAATGGGAAGGGGACAGTAATGGGAAGGAGACAGTAATGGGAAGGGGACATTAATGGGAAGGGGACAGTTATGGGAAGGGGACAGTAATGGGAAGGGGACAGTAATGGGATGGGGACAGTAATGGGATGGGGACATTAATGGGAAGGGGACAGTAATGGGAAGGGGACATCAATGGGAAGGGGACAGTAATGGGATGGGGACATCAATGGGAAGGGGACAATAATGGGATGGGGACATCAATGGGAAGGGGACAGTAATGGGAAGGGGACAATAATGGGAAGGGGACAGTAATGGGAAGGGGACAGTAATGGGAAGGGGACAGTAATGGGAAGGGGACATCAATGGGAAGGGGACAGTAATGGGAAGGAGACAGTAATGGGAAGGGGACATTAATGGGAAGGGGACAGTAATGGGAAGGGGATATTAATGGGAAGGGAACAGTAATGGGAAGAGGACAGCGATGGAAAGGGGACAGTTATAGGAAGGAGACAGTAATGGGAAGGGGACATCAATGGAAAGGGGACATCAATGGGAAGGGGACAGTAATGGGATGGGGACAGTAATAGGAAGGAGACAGTAATGGGAAGGAGACATTAATGGGAATGGGACAGTAATGGGAAGGAGACAGTAATGGGAAGGGGACATCAATGGGAAGGGGACAGTAATGGGATGGGGACAGTAATGGGAAGGGGACAGTAATGGGAAGGGGACATCAATGGGAAGGGGACAGTAATGGGATGGGGACAGTAATGGGAAGGGGACATTAATGGGAAAGGACACCTATGGACTTGCCATATAATTGACCATGATTTGATAATGTTTGATGAAAATCCGTTTTCGGTTGATTTAAACATGTGTACTATATAAATATTCCACTGTTGGTACTCGTCTCGTACATTTCTCTGTCGCTATTGAGGGACAGTAAGGAGGGGGGTCATTTTATGTACTTTGCACTTGGTTTCTCAAAAACTCTTATCATTTTATAACAAAAAATTGTACTAAATTAGAAACGGATACCTTAGAAGCTTATACTAACAACTCCGCGGTTTCGTTCTTCTGGGACTTGTCCGTGCGGAAAACAGTTGTAAGCGCGATAACCCAACTCGTTCTGTTTAGATCGTACAACATGTGGAGACATTTACGACTCCACGTTACAACATGATCACTCTACTTTAAACCCTACTTCTTTTTTTTTTTTTAAATCTCAACCATACCAGTAATCTCCCTTTAACATGTTCTTTTTCACAGTTATCCTAAAGACTCATGTAACATGCAATTGATGTCGTTGGTACATTGTACTTTACAATAAAATAGAAACTTTTTCAATGAACATGCTGTATAGAATTGGAAATAAGAAAATAACTGACTCTTCTAGATCATCCGCGAAACCTGATCTTTTCCTACACCGAAACAAACAGGGACAGCTTTCTACGAATTTTCCACCAGATACTTGCATGCTGCTTCCAGCCAGTGACTTTTGGTGTTTACAAGTAACAGTTGACTTGTTTCTGCTGAGAGAGAGAGAGAGAGAGAGAGAGAGAGAGAGAGAGAGAGAGAGAGAGAGAGAGAGAGAGAGAGAGAGAGAGAGAGAGAGAGAGAGAGAGAGAGAGAGAGAGAGAGAGAGAGAGAGAGAGAGAGAGAGAGAGAGAGAGAGAGAGAGAGAGAGAGAGAGAGAGAGAGAGAGAGAGAGAGAGAGAGAGAGAGAGAGAGAGAGAGAGAGAGAGAGAGAGAGAGAGAGAGAGAGAGAGAGAGAGATGAAGAATATGAGGAAGTTTTTCGGTTGCCACTATTTAATTTGGATTTTATTTTCTATTTTTGTTGTGTTCGTGTGCTGTTTTGTGTTTTGTTTGTTTGTTTCTCCATTCCCTAGAGCGATATATACTCAGATGTCATTTTCGTGTATATACCTCCTGACAATTGCTGCTATTCTTTTCTTAATCTGAGAAGCTGACATTACTTACTCTGATTAAGATTGTAGGTGCTGAAATCCCTGTCCTTAAACAAATCGTCCTTGAATTAAGGAATTTTCCTTAACTTAAAATTTCCCACAGGAAAGCATTACATAAGTGAAGGAAATTTCCTTTTATTTAAGTTTGTCCTTAACTTACGTAATGCTTTTCTGTGGTAGTTAAAATTTCCTTATGTTAAGAAAGATTCATGAAACTGGGGCGTGATCATGTCTTCCATGAAATATTTCAGGGTCTTCATATTATTTTTTGGTCATGTTTTGGTCACCGACTACGATTTGTATTATTAAGTCTGATCTCTCGTGTTTCCTCGTTGTTTTGATAGATCAAACCAACGCTTTTTTCGAGAATACATACACTATGATCATGCTTGAATGAAAGGAACCTCCATCAACTCTGAAAAGGTGAAGGATATCATCTGAAATACACACATCTAGATAATAATAAATACAGCGGGATTTTTATTCCTGTTTGAGTGCTAATTTTCAATTGATAACATTTATTTTCATATTTCAATCTGTGCCCATTTACTAGGTACATCCTTAAATCTTGCTATATTTTCTAGCTTCCTTTACCCTCGATACTTCATGGGTTACGCCCACTATCGCTCTCAGCATCCATGGAACACGTCATGACACAACTGAAGGTTCGGCGTGCGACACCTTGTGGACAAGACTGGGGCTTGATCCTTATGACATGTATTGTGTCTGCAGTGTCACCTATTAAGCTAACAAGGCATTTCATCAACAAAGACCTACACACCAATACAACTATGTCATACTAGGACCATTTATAATGATGTTTTTTGATGCATCAGATATTTTGGCATCGGTATTTTCACCGTTGTCTTTCTTTGCCCTGTTTGGGAGTGACATAACAACGACGAGACAACATACCAAGGTCTCCAGGTTGATGTGATTAACTAAATGTGGAGTTAAAATACTATTCGCAGTAATGCTTCGGTCGTCACTGTCAACACATGAGTGCGATAATCTTGTACACACATTGACAATATACACCAGTGGAGTCCAATATCCTTACACACATACACAGCGAGCAGTAACTAGGACACAACTTCACACATGAAATAACTATGTTTGAATCAGTGGTTGAACTTTTCACAAGCACCAGTGGCTTAATATGGACGTCTCTGGTTCTACTTGTGACTTATTATCTGTGGAGCAGACACCAAAGACTGAAATCCCTGCCCCCTGGGCCGACACCTCTCCCACTCTTGGGAAATCTACTCGATCTCTCTTCCGGTGACCAGGTTGAAGCATTTCGTAAACTGAAGGAAAAGTATGGCGACCTGGTCACTTTGCACGTGGGGTCCTTCACGATAGTTGTGGTCAGTGGTTATGACACACTGCGGGAACTGTTCGTCAAGCGTGCACACGCTACGTCAGATCGGCCTGACATTTACACGTTCAAGGAGATAACACGCCGACACGGTATTTATGTCCACAATTCACTTTATTTGAAGAAAGTTTTACTTAGTTCAATCGTGATAGTAATCTGTATATTCTTCTCAATGACCGATACATATTAAGTTAACAATGATACTTTGGTGAGCTTTTGTCACTTAATTTGCTTGTCCAATATGCACGTTGATACCAAATCTAACCTCATTCTATCCCATATGACTTAAACTTGGGCCTCTCGGTTATGTATTTTGAAGATTCACCACATTCAACCTCCGTGACCTTGAGATAAGAGGTCAATATTGATTTATATATATATATGTACGCATGTTTTTGTCCAAATACAATCAACCGGACACTGATACTGATAGATTAGCATGCTGGAAGGAAAAGACCATCAATCTGATGTAGTTATTGATATAGGGGGTAAATAATTTCTTTTTTTAATAAGTCATATTTTTGCAATATATGCATAATCAATGCTTTGTTTCTTGGAAAAAAAAACTGTATACTAATATCCTGAAATATTCCGTCTGTCCACAGGAATTACCAGCAGATCTGGGCCAGAATGGAAGATACATCGAACGTTTGCCCTCAATGGACTAAGGGATTTTGGATTTGGGAAGAAAAGTCTGGAAGGGAAAATTACGGAAGAAATTGAAATATTTTTAAACTTAATTGACAAGAAACAAGGAACCCCAGTATGTCTCGAATCGCCCATCCAGATTAGTGTTGCTAATATCGTATGTTCCATTGTATTGGGTAAGAGGTTTGAACATGATGACCCTGCTTTTAAGAAACTGATATCTTTGATTCAGGAGAATATAGCTCTTGCCGGTGTTTCTGGACTCCTTAACCTTCTTCCTATTGTGCGATACATACCAGGTGATCCCATGCAGTGTGGGAAAGTGCTTTCTAACGCTGCCAAGATTTACGGGTATTTTGGTGAGCTCGTTGATCGCCATCGCAAGGATTACCAAGAAGATGACATCAAGGACATAATCGATGTTTACTTGAAGGAAATGAAAAAATTAGAAGGCCAGGTTACATCATTTACTGGTATGTGTCACAAAGTAGATAGACCAGGTCAATTATTTATTTTCTATTGACGCAAATATAACATTTAACTGTACGTTTGCAATTCAGAATTGTCTTAATATGAATTAAACGACGTTTTTTTTACTAAAATTTACAATCAATCGATAAATATATGTTTATATTACGTCGCTGTACATATGTTTTCTAAACTGAGAACATTCTCACCATGCCTCGCCAACTATACTTGTTTTTTTAATGAAATGTTCTGATAAGAACTTTGGTCAACTCTCATGGTTTTTTGCATCTTATTCATTGTTTAAAGACCATGCGCCATGTTCTACCACGTGACGTAATGCCGCAAGCTTTGGTTGGTGATGTAATCGTTTTAACATTAACAAAATGAAACGAAAGCGAAAAAGCAAAGAACCAAACATAGTTCAATGCATCTCCGATGTACATGTCTATAAGATAATAACGATCTAACTTTTCAAATATGTTTTAAGATTTACAGCTACGAAACACTGTGGCCGATTTATTCGCCGCAGGAATGGAGACGACTACCACCGTTCTTCTCTGGGCTGTCTTGTTCTTCCTCAACAACCCGGATGTACAGAAGCGTTGTCATGAGGAGGTAACGAGGGTTGTAGGAGAGGGTCGATTCCCGTCCCTGTCAGACCGCTCGGACATGCCGTACATTGAGGCCACGATCACAGAGATCCTCAGATGTGGGGATATAACCCCACTCGGGTTACCACATGTTGCAAGTGAAGATGTTGAAATCAATGGATACACTCTCCCGAAAGAAACGGTGCTCATTACAAATATTAACTCTGTTCACACTGATCCACAACTTTTTAAAGACCCGGGTAAATTTGACCCATCAAGATTCTTGGACAAGGACGGAAAGGTTCATGGAACAGAGCATGTCATTGCCTTCTTCTTTGGTAGGTATTCTAACGTCGGTATAAATTTAGATACCTACTACTAAATCGTCTTAGTGAACTTTATAGATGTGAGTTTGTATGTAACGGCAGCGGTATTTAATCTAACTTACTACTGGCAACTAGTAACAGGCAAACAAAATCAACTGAAATCGCATTTGAAGATCTTGATGTCACTGTTGTAAAAGATAACAAAAAAACAGAAACTCGATAGAGAATACAACTAAAAAAAACGTAAGTCAGTCTAAATATAGATGCCTTTGTCACACAACAGAATATATAGGAACGTGTGCATGGACGTGTAGGAACGTGTGCATGGACGTGTAGGAACGTGTGCATGGACGTGTAGGAACGTGTGCATGGACCTGTAGGATGTGTGCATGGACGTGTAGGAAAGTGTGCTAGGAACGTGTGCATGGACATGTAACAACGTGTAGGAACGTGTGCATGGACGTGTAGGAAAGTGCATGGACTTGTTTGTAGGAACGTGTGCTAGGTACGTGTGCATGGACATGTTAGAACGTGTAGGAACGTGTGCATGGACGTGTAGGAAAGTGTGCATGGACTTGTAGGAACGTGTGCTAGGAACGTGTGCATGAACGTGTTGGAAAGTGTGCATGGACATGTAAGAACGTGTAGGAAATTGCATGGACGTTTAAGCATGGAAATGAATCGCTTTCACCAATACCTTAACTAACAAAAGTCTGTACCAGAAGTTTGACGTACTAGGAGATTGGTTGTATTCATAGAGCATTGGGCTGGACACTTCATATATGTTGAAGTTAGACGGGAAGACTATGTATAAAGACGAAAATGCCATAGTGTGAGAAGTAAATGATTCGTTATAGATTATAAGTATTAGATTGACCCGGGCTAGTGTTAACTTAATATTTAGTATCACGGGTATTGAAATATATCTTAAATAAGTGACATACAAATAACGGTACAGATCAACATAAACTGCCAGGTTTGTCAGACAACGTTATGATTGTGATATCGGTTACAACATAAAGTTAGGATGAGTCTGGGGTTTTATAACGTACAGTCGTCTTGTTCCAAGATGGACCACGGACACGATAGATACATTTATTTTTTCCTGTCCGTTCAGATTTAATCCTTCCCTACCTGGATAACTGCGTATTTCAATTCTGATCTTCGATGTGTTCTGATAGATGTTTTACTTTCAGAGGACTGTAGGTGAAAAAATATTCGCTGAGACTTGGATCATTTCAGATTGTTTCACAATCTTTCTCATCTTACTGACCTTGTCTTTATGTAGACATTTATCAAACATACCATCACGACATTGTGATATGTCTTGTATTGTATCAGTCCTGTCCACATATTCTAAACACGACCAAATCTATGTTTTGTATTGTATCAATCCTGTCCACATATTCTAAACACGACCAAATCTATGTCTTGTATTGTATCAATCCTGTCCACATATTCTAAACACGACCAAATCTATGTCTTGTATTGTATCAATCCTGTCTACATATTCTAAACACGACCAAATCTATGTCTTGTATTGTATCAGTCCTGTCTACATATTCTAAACACGACCAAATCTATGTCTTGTATTGTATCAATCCTGTCCACATATTCTAAACACGACCAAATCTATGTCTTGTATTGTATCAATCCTGTCTACATATTCTAAACACGACCAAATCTATGTCTTGTATTGTATCAGTCCTGTCCACATATTCTAAACACGACCAAATCCCTTCCCATATGTTTTTATTCTTTATTTTCTGCAGTGATACTTTTTTCAGTATGTTGTTCATGAAATATTTTGCGTGTATGACGTGGCCCTCCTCTTCTACAATTTCGTTTACATTTTTTGCCTTTGATGCATACCACGTGATCATGTTCGATGATACAGACTCCATTTATTTGCATTACTTTATTCACATCATTTAAACTTCCAGAACATTAAATTATTTATTTATTTATTGAATTTTATATGAGCAACAAAAAAAATTATATAGAATTGACAATTCTCTCACATATCCTTATAAACACTTGATGGATTTTATTATAATGTCATGAAGCGATGTTTTCTCAACGGTATTTTGAAGGATATTCCTTGACATATTTTCATAATCAATGTATTTCAATGCAATAAAATATTAAACACGACCAAATCTATGTCTTGTATTGTATCAATCCTGTCCACATATTCTTAAACTTTTTTCAGTGTAACAGAAATATCTCTATGTTTAGAGTATATGCGGATAATTTCGTCACTTCTGAGCCTCGAACACGTTAACTTTTAAGTTTATTTTTTATTTCAAATATCTATTTCAGAGTCGTATCACGTGTTCAATTTAGATATTCTATTATTTAACAGGTCGCCGTGTGTGTTTGGGAGAGGCCCTTGCCAGGTCTGAGCTTTTCTTATTCATCTCCTCAATGATACAAAGATTCCACATTAAACCTGTGGACGAAAACAACATCCCTCCTGTTAAGGGCATCCTTGGAGTGACCTTCAAACCATGCCCTTTCGAATGTATAGCGGAGAAAAGAATTTAGGAACATCTCTTAACAACAAAAAAATCGAATAAGTGTAGACTTCTAGACTGACATATCACTGTATACTGATATTGTGAAATAAATATCCTTTTGAAAACATAATTTTGATTTTTCATTACATAACTCTATAACATTCAACATTGTGCAGTGGAATAAAATGGCCGAAGTTTGAGGAAACTGTTATTCTCAATCAAAATACATAAAATTAGAACGACATTTAACATAAGAAAGAGACCTACGGAGAGTACAAAGTTGTTTTTTTTTATTAAAGTTTTTCTCCATAATCACATACAACTATACAATCTCACCTCACAATGATCCAAATTTGTGTACACACATACATTTTAATAGGGTACTGTACTGTACAATTTACACTTAATGATATAAATCTGTATACACACATACTTTGTAATAGTATACTGTACTGTACAACTTACACTTAATGATATCAATTTGTATACACACATACTTTGTAATAGTATACTGTACTATACAACTTACACACAATGATATAAATCTGTATACACACATACTTTGTAATAGTATACTGTACTATACAACTTACACACAATGATATAAATCTGTATACACACATACTTTGTAATAGTATACTGTACTATACAACTTACACACAATGATATAAATTTGTATACACACACATATACTTACTGTACTATACAATACACACAATGATATAAATCTGTATACACACATTACATATATATGATATAAACTTACACACCAAGGATATAAACACGCATACTTTTAATAGTATGCTGTACTATACAATTTACACACACTGATATAAATTTGTATATAGAGGTACGTTAGAGGTACACATATGTATATTGAACTTACATCTTACACATAATGATATAAATTTGTATACACATGTACTTAGTAATATACTATATTTTCACAAGTTGGTAATTTAACGTATAGTTGTATAATTTTTATTTTAATCAGCAGATTATCTTAACTTAACAACTGATTGATAAAAATCCATTTATTTTTTTTTTATCTTTTCTTGTTTTTTACATGTATATGCATATATTCCCATATCTTCTATTTTATTATAATAGTTTATGTATTTTTTCCCTTCAGAAATTGTAGGTACCGTATTTTTCAACCTACAATAGTAAATAAAGTATCACATGAGAATTAGTAAAAATTAATTTCACATCGGTGTTCCACATCTACATCTGTTACACCAAAAATAAAGATTTTTGGATGCCTAAGTAAGGTTATTTGGTATTTGTTTTCTAACATTTCCATCAACAAAAGCCAAAATGTTTTGACAACACTGCATTCCCAGAACAGGTGAATAATAGTTTCCCTCTCATTTATACACAAAGTACATCTTTCAGTTTCTGTTAGTTTACATTTCATTAACTTTGTATTAGTATACAATATATTGTGTATTATTTTATACTGAAAGTTTATAAGTTTTGTATAATCAGTTACCTCCCTTGGCATGAGATTAATCAGTTCCCAAGCTTCTTCACTGATATCAGTAGTGAGAATTTCTTGCCATTTTTTTGACTACTTATTGGCTTTTCAGAAAATAAATGAATAAGAATATGATAAAAATATTTTGTTACTTTATCATGTGTAGTGAGGTAATTGATTAATTTATATTCAACAGTAGGTGTATCAACATTTACATTCTGCAGAATTGCTTTCCAATTTCTTGGTATGGCATTAATAACGCCATTGTAATCTAAATAATTCACATTAATGTTATACTTATCATTAGACATAAGTATATTGTTTTCTAGTAAGTCAGAAACAAAAAATATGCCCTTTTTACACCAATGTTTATAAAAAAAAACCATCTATGGTCTCTTTTAATAAAACTATTAAAAAGATAGGCTGTGATACCACCTCTTCAGGGGTTGTGGGGAGGCTGTGATACCACCTCTTCAGGGGTTGTGGGGAGGCTGTGATACCACCTCTTCAGGGGTTGTGGGGAGGCTGTGATACCACCTCTTCAGGGGTTGTGGGGAGGCTGTGATACCACCTCTTCAGGGGTTGTGGGGAGGCTGTGATACCACCTCTTCAGGGGTTGTGGGGAGGCTGTGATACCACCTCTTCAGGGGTTGTGGGGAGGCTGTGATACCACCTCTTCAGGGGTTGTGGGGAGGCTGTGATACCACTTCTTCAGGGGTTGTGGGGAGGCTGTGATACCACCTCTTCAGGGGTTGTGGGGAGGCTGGCTGTGATACCACCTCTTCAGGGGTTGTGGGGAGGCTGTGATACCACCTCTTCAGGGGTTGTGGGGGACACATTTTCCTGTATAGAAGCCCAAGCGGTAAACACCTCTCTCCAGAAAGTATTAAAATGCTTTAATAATTCTGTTAATCCTTCTTTGGTCATTTTAGAAATATTATCACCTCCAACACCCTCCAAGAGAGTACAAAGTTAATAAGGTTAAGTTTGGAGGAAAAATTTGAAATCATCGACATTATCTGCGTTATGAATTTAGGTCAAATCTGAACGTCACGTTCTCCATATGAAGACTGGGGCAGTAATCTCGAAATCACAGGGAATATCCGCGAGCTTTAAACACGACGAGCTTCAAGGAAATACATTTCACATAGAGATCATTATGATGATCATAAAACTTTCCCATAGTCTGCTTCACCGTTTATACCTCGAAATCGTGTGTTAAAATACTTTCTCTTTTCACGCTATTGGCAATCATTGCTGAAAACGTTACATCCGTAACAATACCATGAATATTAAACACAGGTTCGACGACAATATGTGAACATCAGGTAGAGAGGAAATGGTCGTTTATGTGTTCATGTTTTTTGTTTTTTGTTTTTTTTGTTTTGTTTTTCGATTGTGTCCTGAAATCAAATGAGAAACAGAATCAATCTATGTTTTGAATAATCAATATCATAAACAAGTCCACTATTTTGTGCACTACCAGGCACCAGATAAAGAAATCCCTGCCCTCGGGACTGACACTACTCACACTACTAGGCAACTAGACTACAAGAAAAATACGTAGTCACTTGGTCATTTTGCACGTGTGTCATTCAATATGGTAGTGGTTAGTGGTTATACCAAAAAGCAGAATGACACCGCATCTGACGTGCTTTTGAAAAAATTCGCAAAAATTTATTTTGTCTTACGGAGTCAATACATGTTAAAGGAGAGAGGGACATTTAAAGTAATTCATCTTAAAACATAACAAACCCGAAATTTCTAAAATGTACTTATGTAAACTACGATTATCAGAATGCTAAAGTTACGTTACTGTCTTATTAAAGTCTCACAAATAATGAATACAGTAGTCGGCAAATTCAGTCTAGGAGGGTGACGACGACCAACTATCAATTTCCTCTGGACCGTCTAGTTCTTTCTCCACACATTTCGGTAACGAGGATGGTACGAAAGGGTCGATTCCCTTCCCTGTCAGACCACCCGGACATGTCGAGGCCACTATCACAGAAGAGATCTTCACGTGTGTTGACATTGTCATACTTGGTTTTTCCACATAGCACAAGTACTGAAGTAAAATCATTAACGACTATATCATTCCTACAGAAGATCTGTTCAAGCCATGCTACAGTTCATCAATTCTGTCCTTACCGACCCTGCACTATTCTTACAGCCGGGTTAATCCATTCCCTTGCGAGTCATCGACAAACTCCAGGCAACGGAACGATCCGTGACCTTCTATTTCGTTAAATATAATTTTTAGCGATTTCTTGTCTGTAACTGTGTATGCTTTCGTATATACGATAGAAATATTTAAAAATGTCAACATTTCCCGCCAAAGTTCGACCAACAACATCAGAAAATGCTACACTGACCATGTAAGGTTATTCAAGTCATCAACACCCAATGGCTGCCACCGTAACGTGTCACCGTGCCGGTTTCGAACTAGTTGTTTCAGCAAGTGAATGCAATTAATCACAAATTTATATTAACAATCATTTATTCATTTCAGAACTGCTGTGATTTTTTTCTAATAAATGTAAAATTAACGATTATATTTAGATACAAAGACCGCATCACTCTTTAAGTGAATAACAAGACTGTACATCCCTGTGAATCAGCCCTATCTGTAAGGTTGCAGCTTTGAACATAACGATTTGTTATACTGTGTTGTTTAGAGTAGGAGGTCGGGTATAGACTTACTACACAACAATGTACTAATGCGCTGTGCCCACGCGTGACTCAATTGATTGATGCTGTGGTTTGCTATTGATAAGTGTCAACAAACATTGGAACACTGTTAGTAAATCTGTTACTGATTGGCGGAATGGAAGACCCAACACACTGAGGGTCACCATTCAAATTACGAAGCGTCAGCTTGACGCGCGTTCTGTAAAAGTCGTGCCTCAAAAAATGAAAAAAACAATCGAAACGAGCTCATTGATGATACTCATCACATTAAATAATTTTCACGTTTTCAGCAAAAAACATAAAAATAATTACAAAACGTATTAAATTCCACTCGCGGAAGGAGATGTTTGTAGAAAGCAGTCCGTTAAATTCTACTCGCGGAAGGCGATGTTTGTAGAAAGCAGTCTGTTATATTCCACTCGCGGAAGGAGATGTTTGTAGATGTCCTTTTACAAGTGTCAGAGAACAAAACCTGAGATGTAGTAGTTTATATACAAATACACATTTTGCCAACTGCAAGATGCCAATGAGATGTCGACTCGATTTAGTCTGTAGAGAGAACAGGGAAATCATGGTGTCAAGAGCAGACCAACCAGTGTCGATGGTCAATAATAGAGACACGCGACGTCTATGAAACATTGCGTCCAGAGAGCTAAGCGGTCCTTTGTCTCTAGCTTATCTAGGAAATCGCTATATGAAATGACGAGACGTGTACTTATATTCTGCAACGTTTGCTAAAAAGAATTATATCGGAGAAACAACACCTACATCGTGTGATCGTTCTCCTTATTTTTGAAGTTATAACATTATAGTTATCTGCTTATCTTGTACAGTGTTTTTGGTGACTCAAATATTTGAGTCCTCGAATCGCCATCTTTTCTTTACAAGACTCGCTCAAATTCTGAG